ATTTAACTTATCAGTTTACTGATGACCCAATGGGAATAAAGTTCTGAAATTTAAGTTAGTTTGTTTTTATAAATTGGCGAAATCTTCAAAATACATAATCTGAATTGTTAATATTATAACTTTTCAAAAGGTAACATTGTATTAGATTGTTATCTTAGAAAAATGCAGTATCCTATCAGGGAATTAATAAAATTATTTTCAATGCAAGTCATGAATGCCTGACAGGTTTTCTGAAAAGACCCCATTGCAAAAACCTATCCAGACGAACTGGTAGAAATAATTCAAGAGGGCTATGTAAGCAAATGCCAAAAAAACATTCATTGCAAAAATCACACAGCCTTTCGCTTTAAATCAGCCAAAGATCGGATGAGCCTATTGTTTGGCAGTAACACACGTTGAAGCCACTCTTAATCAACAAATCCCTTAAGCCAAGAGTTTTAAAAGGTAAGGATGTTAATCAATTTCCATTTCATATTATGGCGAATAAAAAAGACATAGATTACGGCTAATCTGTTTAAAGATTAGTTTAATAACTGAATTTGTTCCTGAAATCCAGAAATATTTGATATAAAAAGGTTTAGAATTCAGAACACTTTTGTTTGTTGATAAGGCACCTAGTCACTCAGTGCTGGTACAATAGAATATTCAGTTACTGTTTTTGCCGCCTAATACCACTTCTCTGATTCAGGCACTCGATCAGGGTATTATAGCAGCATTTAAAATGTACTACATCAAGCAAACGTTAAGATACATTTTAGATTCAGTGGAAGAAAACAATTTGTTGGTTATGGAAGCATGGAAAAAGTTTAATATTTTGGTTTGCATTACACATGTTTCCTTAGCCATACAACAGTTGTGGCAATCAACCTTAAATGCGAGTTGGAAAAACATTTTACAAGCTTCCGTTCAAGGCGAAACTTTAGCGGATAAGAAATTTGTCCAGAGATTGTAAGTCTTTCAAATAATATAGGTGGCGATGGATTTGACAATATCCAAATGGCTGCTATTACCCGTGTTTTATTTGACCATCAAAAGCAGCTAATATACAATTTAGTTTCAAATTTCATATTTGTAAACGGAATATTAATATTCTATACAAATATATTTATTTTAGTTATTTGAGGTCTAGAATATAAAATACAGAAAAGAAGTGTTCATATTTGTCTTAGTTTTTAGTTAATACGCATCCCAAAAATTTTGGTTTGTTTACATTTTGATCTTTCAAAATGAGGTTTCTCGCTTTGCCAACTACTTTTTTTTTTGGGGGGGAAAAACCTTGAATGAAAAAAGCGATTAACTGGCAATGCCTCTAGTTCAATATACAAGCTATGATATGACAAGCCAACGTAAGGTGAAGGTCGGCTAATTTAATTCGTGGGGACTTGAAATTCGCTACAAGTTTGGAACATTTTCTTGCTCATGAACCTGACATGGGGCTTGTACTACAATTCCAGAGTAAACTTAAATCTTGTGTTGCTGGGTATCAAGAATTGTCTGAACAACAGAAGAAACTAAAACAAAAGTGTTTTAACAGACTTTGTAATAAAAAACCGATAGAGACCGATTAATAATGCAGATAATTCTGCATTAGAACAAAACTTAACAGTTTGTTGGACATATATTCTGACAGCAGTGCTTTTTTTTAAGCCAGTCCAATACGATTGTTTTCAAATAACTAATTTTTTTGATTTTTTTTTTGTACTTATGGATTGAATTTAAATAGTATAGTCATTTATTTTTCTGTTCCCAAATTTATATATGAATCGTGTATTTTTTTACACGATTTTTATTACTAAAAAAAAATTGTTAATAAAAACAAGGCACATATTTTAAAATGGAGTTTAAAAACTCTAATTACTAGTAATATTTGAAAACTTGATTAATTATAGCAAAAAAGGATCAGACTGTACAATAATGAAAAAACTTTAAAACCTAAAAAACGGGAGAAGAAACATCCCGTAACATATATTTCGCTGTTGATTGCACCCGATGTAACGAATGAGCTGCTCCTTTTGCAACAATTGCCAATTTCTGTGGAAATTTGATAACCTTTTTGGTTTTGAATTTTTCAGCAACAATTCCTCGAGAATAGGCTGTCCAGGTAGCTGAGAAAAGTCCGCTAAGACGTAAATCTTTCGCCAGCTTCTTAGCTCGTTTTTTTGCGGTATTGTTCCTGATGGCGTTTTTATCCGAAACATTCTGTACCTTGTACGTCTTCAACCCAGTTTCCAGCCCGAACTCTTGTGTCTTTCTTGAGAACGGTCACAACGTTCTCGGCCTTCTCACTTTTTCTTTTTATCAAAATCTTTCTTCCTGTCAATATGCACATCTTCCTTAAAGCATTAAATAACGCGATAAATGGTTTTAGGGTTAATAATTTGTTTTTGACTCTAACGGACGCACAATATTTTCTGGCATTTTTTTCAAAGATACTAAGATACAAGTTTTTTATTTGAAATTTTTAATTGCACAATATGTTAAAAAAGTAGCGGACAATTAAATTCCTCATATTGTATTATAAAATATAAATAGTAAAGTTTTTTTGTACTGTGTTTTTTTTTAATGTTTCATTTTCTATGATCTCTCAACACTACCACATATTTGTCAATTACACTATGATACTTTATAATAAGGGTGTTTTTTAGACATTTGTATTTGAAGCAGAAATAAAATCGCGCGGGTATTTTTCAAGTCGTCCATCATTTCGAGCTTATCTGCATATACAAGAGACTTCATATCGCCGCACAAAAAAATACTTCAATCTTAAATTCAATTGGATGTCACCCAACAAGTCCACAATACGAGATAATGCGCTAGTTAAGGAACGTATTAATTATGATATAAACAGAATGTATCAAAACAACCTTGAGTTCGAATACCACAACAACCTTTCCTTACAACAAAGCGAATGTATCCAAGCAAACAATATATACATATGTAAACAAACCCACACATCTGTATCTAAACAAAATATCAAATAGTAATCAGTAAACATACTAGTTAGTATAAATAGAAATAAGAAACGTGTAATAAGTTACTCTTAAGAGTATTAATAAAGAGTACACATTACGATGCAGCTCAAACAAATTTTATTTTGACTAATTTTTTACTTCATCTAAAAATTAACAAGGAGCCCAACCGGGATGGCAAATTATTTGCTATCCAAAAAGCCAGATTTTAATTAGAAAGGAATAAAAAAAATTCCACAGGAAGTAGGACTTCCAGTACTAAATTTCAGAAAAAAATTTTAGAAATAATTGGCAATGGATAGAAGTATAAACCTTGTAACAGCGGACAATCTTCTTCTTCTTGATTGGCGTAGACACCGCTTACGCGATTATAGCCGAGTTAACAGCAGCGCGCCAGTCGTTTCTTCTTTTCGCTACGTGGCGCCAATTAGATATTCCAAGTGAAGCCAGGTCCTTCCTCTTCCTCT